GCGCGCGTGTGTGTGTGTCTGTGTGTGTCTGTGCGTGTGTGTGTGTGTCTGTGCGTGTGTGTGCGCGCGTGTGTGTGTGTCTGTGCGTGTGTGTGTGTGTGTGTGTGTCTGTGTGTGTGTGTGTGTGTGAGAGGAGCCTTGGACCTGGGTTCGAATTTCAGCTCAGCTGGGCAATCTTGGGGGAAGCCCTTCCTGGCCCGGATCTTTTCACGTCCGGCAAAGAAAGTGGTCTGACTGAGGTCTCTAAGTCCTGAAATTGCTTGAATGAGAGTTGACAGCCAAAAATGACCTTCAGGAGGGCGAGAATGTGCTGGCGCCGACCATGGCCGTGGATATCGGTGGTCTCGAGGCAGACTGTGTATTTCATGTGCTTCTTTTTCTTCCTTCAGGCCTGGGCAGTTTTTAAAGGGAAGTTTAAGGAAGGGGACAAAGCTGAACCAGCCACTTGGAAGACGAGGCTACGCTGTGCTTTGAACAAGAGCCCAGATTTTGAGGAAGTGACAGACCGGTCCCAGCTGGACATTTCCGAGCCATACAAAGTTTACCGCATCGTCCCCGAGGAAGAGCAAAAATGTAACTATCCTTTACGGGCACTCAGCCCAACAGAGGTGGCCCGGCCTGCAGCCCCACCGGAGGGCCCTGGTCTGGGGTTGAAGTCGCCGCCAACAGGGTCTGGGACGAGTAGTGTTAGCTAAACAACATAGCTCTCGCCTTTGTGTAAGCAGATAGTGAGGCCTCTTTCCACTGACCTCACCCACCATCTGCTGACCAAGTGGCAGCCTCCAGTTGAGTGAGAGGCGGCCAATGGGAGGAAAGGGCGGGGAGACTGGGCTGCAGCCAGCTCTGCGGCTCCTGACTGTGAGACCGGGAACACGCTGCAGGACCTCCATGGGCTCAGTACAGGAGTGGACAGGAGTGAGCACCCTCCGACAGTGTGGATCAGGAGTTCCTTTTGTTTTTTAGCAACTCACAGAGGAGGCTGGGGGAAAATCAGCAGGACAAAGAAAGGGTGGATGATAAGGGTTGAGGATGAAGTTCTTGAAGGAATTTGCAGCTGCTGGCACTCTTGGCTTCATTGCTGGAGATGCCTCGATATATTGTTAGATCCTGATTGTTGTTTGGGAACTCCGGGATGTGATACTAGCTGAAGTCTCTTCCAGCTCTAAAATCCCAAGAAAGCATTTGTGAAGAGATTAAAGCAGGAATAACAAAGCCTGCCACACATCCCCTAGTCCTGCATCCTGCACTCTGTTCAGACATCACTAATCAGTCGGAATGTTTTGAGCTCATATCTGGCCTCAGAATCCTTTTCAGAGTGGTGTGCTATGCAGCTGCTGTGAATCAGAGCTGGCCCATGAGATAAAATCTAATTACCATCACCGCTTTAAAAATTCTTGTGATACATTGGTTTTCTTAGCCATTGGATGTAGCAGTTAGAATATTCGCTCAGCATCATTTTCCCCCTAAAATCTTATTGGTAGTCCAGTAATGCCTGAAAGAAATAGAACCCTCAGAGACTGCTTAGGGCTGTGCAGAAATTCTGAGTTTGAGCTCTTCCCACTATGGGGAGGTTGAAAATGTTGATGTATAATTAAAAAAAAGTTAAAATTGTGACTCTAACAAATATACAGTGAGCCTGGGTCACAGTCATTTAACTCATTAATGAGGGAGCCAACATGGTGGCAGTGGGATTTGATCTGAGGTAATTGGATTGTGTCACTGTTTCTATCTTTGCCTCCATACAGTTAGTCTCAACAGGGCAGCTATTGTGATAATCCAAGGGAGCCAACATGGTGGCAAAGGTTGTTTGACAGAGAATATGAGACACTGCTCTGTGGTCACTGAAAGACAGGCAGCTGAGCAAACCAGTGAGTGTCCGACCCAGCCAGTACAACCACAGTCCGGGGGTTATCTGTTCTACTGGTCATTTATAGCTTGATTGTCTGTAAATTAACCCCTGACTTTATTGAGTCTAAACTCTAATCGATAGTCAATAGTAAGTCAAACAAACTGACCTTCCCCTGGAGAATCACATGACCCTCAGGGGGACACCTCTCAGAGAATACTCTGGGATGGCTTTGAAAGGCTGAGCAGTCATCTTTCTGCCTTATTTCCCAGTTTTGGATAATTTTTCATTATCACAAAGTAAATTGTGATTTGAAGGAATAGAGAAGTTTCTGTTCATCCCCCTCCCCCAGGATCAGCCAAGCTTGCACTGGCAGGTGACCCTAGCTTGTTTATAGTGTGGGGTGCAGCCCGCATCACCTGCAAGGGTGGATGTTAAAGAAGAAGCAGGTTCTCAGGGGGCACAGAAACGCTGTATTTGCATAAGGTCTAAATGGACCCATTCTGCTCTGTACTTCAGTGGTTTGCAGGCTACAGTGAGGGTGCCCCACCTGCCCCCTACTTCCCCCGCCAACAGCTTCTCAGTGAATTCTTGAATCTATCAAAATGGAATCAAGATTCAGGCAGGATGAAACGATGGGTCAGCTCTGTAGATGGTTGGACTGATGCGTTCCAACAGACCAGTGTCCGCTGGGCAGAACACGTCTCACCTGGTGGACTCCATGAGGGAGTTTCTGGCCGGGGAAGAGGCCCGAGGGGGAGAAAGGAGCCTGGTCCAGGCACTTGTGGAAACACTCAGGTGCCTTCAGGAAGCTCCTGGTGAAGGCCGGTCTCTAAGGTGTGCTGTGTGTGTACGTGGTGTGTGTGTGTGTACAGATGTGTATTTGGAAAGGCCAAAAAGAGATTTCCTGCCAATTAACTCGAAAAAAAGACTCCAACCTGCAAACACATTTTGCCGGGAAATCTCTGGGTGTCTTCAAATGCCCCAGCTTGTAAGTGTAGCCTCTGTAGGGTGGCGAACGCCTGGGGTGAGGGTATCTGATAGGAATTCATTTTAGACCTTGGCACACAGAAGGAAGAGACCAGAGTGCTCTTTGTCCTCTGAGTGTTAGAAACAGCAACGACCAACTTCTCTCTTTTGACTTTGCTGATCAGATGGCTGAAGAAGCATGGGAAAAAAATATCTAGGCCTTTCCCAAACCAATGTAGACACTCATTGAATTTTGTTTCCTTCACCTCAGCATTTAAAGAAAACTCTGCTTATGGCCTCGGTGATGGTGATGCCTCAGTGCCGTTTGTCATGCGCTTGTCTGGTTTTCCGTAGGCAAGTTAGGCGCCGTGACCCCTGGCTGTGTGAATGAAGTCGCGGAGATGGAGTGTGGGCGCTCTGAAATCGACGAGCTGATCAAGGAGGTAAGTGGGGACGGCATTTCCGGGGGTCTGGCCCCGACAGCAGCAGCTGCATGTGTTTTGGCGGCAGTGGCATCGTTCTTGCCCTGCCAAGGGGTGCAGGACCTTGGCTGTCCCAGGACGCGGCGCCTGCACCCTGACGGATGGAAGGCAAGGACTGTGCCACCTCCTGAGGCCAGCCTCCACCATCTGTTCACCCCCTCACCTGTATCCCCTCCTTCATCCCGAGGGCTGGGGCTGAGCTGCCTGCTCTGCGTCAGTGAAGTTTCCTCAAGCTCTGAACTTTTCATATGGTAAACATTTCGAATGACAGTCTTTGAAATTGCATCGTGTATTCCCTGGCCTTCGCAGGCAGGCTGCAGCGGACATAGTGTACACTTCCCTTGCTGCGTGGGGCTGTTGCCAGGACGTGGGTTGTTGTGCTGGTGGCTCTCATGGCTGGCGGGCTGCCTGTCTCCTAATATGCAGCTTTTAGTCCTTGATGGGCCAGAAAGCCAGATAACCAAGCTTGTTAGAATTGTACATAAACCCACAGTTTATAGGCTATAAGTAAAGGCTTAATGGGGTCTCCTTGGGCAAAACACATGGGTTTTTGAGTACCAATTTTAGCTATTTGGATGCATGTTCTTCTACCTTTAGCCTCTTTCCTATGTTTTTTATGGATATTTCAAGGTAGACATTGCATAGCTAAAATACTCCCACATGGCCCTCACAAAAGGTGGTCTGGGTGTGATGGAAGTTCTTCTTAATACCAACACGGCAATAATCGAGTCCTTAGGAGTAGCTTGGCTGTCAGAGGATGCAGGTAGCAGTGGAACCTCCGGGAGCCGCCTGCCTCCTGCAGATGGCAGCTGTTAAGCTTCCGGCGGTCTCTGGCTCAGACTGGCTGAATTCCTGGCTTCGTGACTCTCCAGCAGTGTCCCATTTTCCACTCAAGGCTTTTGTCCCGACACAGCTAAGAGGGTGAGATCATTGGATTGGCACGCTGGGATCACGGGAAAAGCAGATTGCAAAGCGTTTCCTAATTGGAGTTATCAACCTCCTTTAAGGAATGGGTCAGAGATGGAAAACAGACATGGCGTATTGAGTGAGATTGGCCAAAGCACGGCAGAGCTTGTGCAGAGTCACTGGTCACTGGCGTCCCAGGACTTCTCCACTTCTCCGGGCATCAGGGCAGCCGGATGACCGGGCCGTCTGGTTTTGCGACAGGCGGTTCCACGTAAAAAGCCAGTAAACTTATTAGCAGCCCTGGAGGGGCTGGTCGTTTGCTCACGTGGTCTGATCACTAAGCCTGGTGGATTGATTGTCCTGGATCTTTCAAGATGCAAAGGGTCGTTTTCCTTTTGTCTCAGGAAATAGAGAAGATGATGTGGTTTTAGTTAAGTATAAGCCCTTTGTCTTCACAAACACTGGAGTCCCGCTCTGGACGCTCAGTGACCGCTCTGCTTTCCTCTCCTGCCCCTGATTGCACAGCCTTCCGTGGACGACTACATGGGGATGGTCAAGAGGAGTCCCTCCCCACCAGAGGCCTGCAGGAATCAGCTCCTCCCAGAGTGGTGGACACAGCAGCCCAGCGCAGGTGAGCGCTGGAGCCCAGGACTCCTCCTTCACTCCTGTCAGCCTAACAGCAGCCCAGGGCGGTGGTACTACTCTGATCCCTGTTTATGGACGGTAACTGAGCCCAGAGAGGTGCCCGGTTTCCAACCACGAGGGCAGAGCCCAGCCATGCCATTAGCCCCATTAGGCGCTGCCTCCCAGGAAGACACACATGCTCTTCCCATGGGAGGTGTCCGCTCTCCCCCCATGCTCCTGGAGGTCGAGGGGAGGGAGTGTGGTGAACTTCTCCAAGACCAGGGGAGGGTGCAGCTCTCGGCCGTGGAGGTCATAGGTCCGATAGGTTCACCAGCCAGTCTCTTAGGACATTAGGGGCCCCCTCAGAGCCAAGGATGGCCCAGGCATCTGGAGAGGAGGGGAGCTCGGGCCTGGCATGGGCAGTTGCTCACTCTGAGCCCTGGATCTGAGTCCCATGTCAGGAAGCTGCCTATCTTATTTGAGCCTCAATTTACTCTTCTATGAAGTGGAGACCCCGGGACCTGCCCCAGGGGTCATGAGGGCTGAATGAGGCCTTCACACTTTTCTTAGCTTCTGACCCTCCCCTCCCCCGTGCCTGGACCAGCCCTCCCTCTGTGAGCACGAGCACCTTGTTTCCTCCTTGGCCTCTCCCCACTGTCCCCTGTGGGAGACTGGGAGATGACAGCCGGCCCAGCCGGCCTCAAAGGTTTCCGGGCTGTGGGGTGGCAGTGTTGACTGAGGGGCCCTGGGAGAGCCCCTCTCTCCCTGGGGGAGTGTTGCAGCAACACTTCTGGGAAAGCTGGCTCGGGCCCTCGGCTCCCCTCCAGAGACAAGGCCTGAATGGGGGCGCGTAGTCCAGTGATGTTTCAGGAGCAGGCCCTTGGGCGGGAAGGAAATGTGGCCCCACAGTGTCACACTGACACATGGTCAGAAATCCCACAGCTCAGAGGAAGTCTCCGCCCCCTCATGCTGGTTGGGTTGAGGTTTTCTGCGTTTATGAAACATGGGTCGCCGAGCTGGGAGGGAAAAACACCGAATTTAGCGGAAGCCTGTGGCTGGGCCTCAGGAGCACGCCATGTGTGGCTTTTTAAGAAACTTTTGGAGAGGGAGCGTTTGGCTTGGTTCACCGCACACAACTGGCTCTGGCTGGTCTGAATCTGCTTTTCTTTATCTAGCAGGCTTGTCGCTGGTGACGGGGTATACCTCCTATGACCCACACCATTCAGGTACGAGGTGCTCTGGGCTGGGTGGGGAGGGGGCCTGGGTGCTCTTTGAAGACAGAGCGTGAAGGACCTGTGTGGGCTTGTGAGGGTCCTGGGATGAGCATAGCCTGGTGTTGGAAGGTGGGAACCCAATTCCTCCTTCTCACTGTTTGATTTGGGAGCAATGAAGTTGCTGGCCTTTTTGAGCCTCTTCTTGGATTGGACCAATAAATAGATCCAAAGAGCTCTTTGCAGGTGTAACTATGCAAGAGAAAGAGGGTGGAAACAGACATGCTCAAGGCCCAGCTCTCCCCCTTTTGTGTGACCCCAGGTGGCGTAATTGAACCACTTGGAACCCCAGGCTCCTCCTCTGTAAAGTAGGAACAATAACAACAACTACCTCACTGGAGTGTTGTGAGGATTAAACAGGTCTTGTTAGAACTTTCTGGTAGGGATGTAATTGGCCAATGAATGTCACCAGTGTCGGTTTCCTTTACTCTCTCCCACACCCAAGTTTATAATGATAATGATGCTAATAACAATAATAATGATATGATGGTGATGGTGATGCTGATGATGGTGATGGTGATCATGATGTTGATAGTGATGGTGATGATGGTGATGATGATGGTGGTGATGATGGTGATGATGACGATGATGATGATGGGGACGGTGATGGTGATGGTAACGATGATGGTGATGGTAAGGATGGTGATGGTGATGATGGTGATGATGATGACGATGATGATGGGGACGGTGATGGTGATGGTGACGATGATGGTGATGGTAAGGATGGTGATGGTGACGATGGTGGTGATGGTGATGGGGATGGTGATGGTGGTGGTGATGATGATGATGATGCTGACGATGATGGTGATGGTAAGGATGGTGATGGTGATGATGGTGATGGTGATAGTGATGGTGATGATGATGATTATGGTGACGATAATGGTGATGATGGTGATGGTGATGGTGATGATGGTGATGGTGACGATGATGATGGTGATGATGGTGATGGTGATGACGATGGTGATGGTGACGATGTTGATGGTGGTGATGATGTTGATGGTGGTGGTGATGATGGTGATGACGGTGGTGTCTGACATTATTGAATGCTAACTGGGTGCCGGGATCAATGCTGAGACTCATTCCGTCTTCCCACCACCTCTAGGCCGTTGCCATCATTGTTGCCATTGTACAGGCTCAGAAGCCCTGGGTTATGCAGCTTCTGGGCTGTAGAGGTGGGATATGGGCTCAGGCCTGTCCGGTCTGCACCTGCGGGCAGAGGTGGCCTCTGTGCTGTGTTGTTGTCTAATTACTCTGGGGACTCGAGCTGTGCTCCTGCCAGTGGCCCCTGGAATGTATGTTCAGGCTCCTTGATGGCATGTCTTCCCCAGTGGCTCCTCGGCTCTGCAAGAAGCCGCCAGCCTGACTCACCAAGATGGGCCACAGAGCATCAGGGCGCGGGGCTCTGGGGCCTCCTGGTGCAGAGGAGGAACTGGGGCTCAGAGAACAGAAGTGTCCTGGCCCAGGCCCTCTCCGGATGAGTGTTTTTGGGGTGGTGGAAGCAGGCTCTCACCCAGGCAAGAAAGGTATAAAGAAAACAGTGCCCCGCCCTGTTCGTAGAGCTCTTACCCATTGCACAGCAGCCCTGTGGGCTGGGGCCTGTCATAACTCGGCTCCACAGGTGGAAGCTAAGAGTTAGAGGTTCCATTGCTCACCCAAGGTCACACAGCTAGTAAGCGGCGTGGCTGGGTTTGCACCCTGGGGCCTGGCTTCACGCCTGTTCTTGAGACTGCCCTCCGCTGGGCGGCTGCCATGCTTCCCCGAGGCCCAGCTCCAGGAGGCCTGGGTCATGGGACCTGGCCTTTGACCTGGTTAGCTCTGGGCCGTGGCCTGGGGAGTCTGCTGACGGATGCTTTCTGGGGGCAGGGGAATGGCCGGGCACAGGGTGAGGGAAGGCGTGATCTGAGGAGGAAGTTTCCTCGGTGATCCCAGAGCTGTCTCAGCGCACAGCAGGGGAGGTGGCTCAGCCACTGCCTCACGCACAGAAAATCCTGAAACGCTCTTCCAGAACTGGGGGACTGTGGTACCTCTGTTCAGTTCACAAACACCCCCTCTGTGTAAATAAGTCGATGTCAGGGGTCCGCGGTGCTTCACCCTGAAGGGACGAGGTGCTGAGTGAAATGGGCTGGTGAAAGACAGCAGGGAGTGGTGGAGACTGTGGCCGAGTGGAGAGCCCAGGCTCCCTGGGCTGCTCAGCGGTGGTGAGTGCCCTGCGGGCTTACAGACCCAGCCAGGCTCCATTTCCGCACTTTTCTCGAGAAGCCAGAGGTCTGGATTTTTATGTGAAATCTTCCCCTTTAAAGAGGTGGTGTTCACAATGCCCGCTGTGCTGGCAGATCCAAACTCGACTGTGCTGCCGTCTGTGCTCTTGACTGTGTGCATGTGAAATGATGGGGTGAAGGGCGGTGTTGGGACCTGATGGTGTGGCTCATGCTTAAGAACGCAGATGTGGAGCTGCCTGCCGGGGAGGCAGGGGCACATCCAGGCACTGCGGGTAGGCGCCTTCACCTGCCTGTGCCTTAGTTTCGTTACCTGGAAAATGGGCATAGTTGCTAATGGTCTCTACCTCATGGGGTTGGTGTGAGGATCAGGTGTGCTCCTAGGTCCAGAGCACTGGGAGCACTTGGTCCATACTGCGTAGACTGGCGACTGCGCTTTATAACTTCAGGGGTCTCGTCTGTGTATTGATCTTTTGTCCTGTTGCCCCGGTTTATGTAATAACTGCTTCTGTGCCACTGACGTGTGCCGAGTGCAAATACAAGCTCGTGCAGTCCTCGCAGCTGCCTGGTGACGTGGGTGCTGTTATTATCCCACTTTGCTGATGGGGAGACTGAGGCACAGCGTGGTGAAACTGCTTGCCCCAGGTCACACAGCTGGAGTTTACACATCAGGGGGTCGGGCTCCGAGTCTGTCCTCCTGGCATCTTTGCTCTGCCCTACAGCGGGGCTGTCCTTGGTGGGCGAGTGGCTATGTGGGGAGCAGGATGGGGTTGCAGGGCCCTTAGAGTTGCAGAAGGGCCACCCTGAGTTACCTGGCAGCCCTGGTGAGTCGCTTCTCCTCCGTGGATCTCACTGCTCACCTGGAGGGTGCGGTGAGTCGTTGCTCAGGCCCTTCCAGCTCTAACGTTCCCTAGGCTCGAGCTGTCCCTGGGAGTGGGGACACTAGGATGGCCCACCTGGGCGTCTCTGGGCGCTTTCTCTGCTGCTGCCTCTGAAGCAGCCAGTTCACATGACCAAGAGGCGCTAGTATGAGCTAAGGCCTCAGCCATGACAAGGCAGAGGGGCAGAGTGGCGACAGAGTCATCTGGAGCGTTTCATTCATTTGGGACAAAGTTCAGAATTGTTCTCGAGTGAAGGGTTGAAGTGTGTCAGATCATCGGGTGATGAAGACGTTACAGACTTGGGGTGGCGGGGGATGGGGACGGGAATGATGGGACGTGGGGTCAGATGCTGGTGCTGCTGCTTACCTGCCGTTGACCCCATCTGGGCCCCAGTGTCCCCAAATAATATGAGTTGGACTCAGGCATCTGAACCTCTGACTCTCAACCCTGCATGATTTTAGAATGCCGTTTAACTCCAACATGGGAGAAAATGGAGCCTGTGAACAGTAGGCAGGGAGTCTTACTATTTGAGCAAATGTTCTGGAGCAGAGCCCAGTGGGAGGGTCCAAGGAATTATAAGTGCACAGCAGCACTGCACAACTCTAGGGGCACCATGAAGTTGGGCAGTTCACAGCTTATGTGGCTCCAGGGGGCAGCCCTGCACTGGTCTGGGGCACTTAGAAGGTACCCCAAACTACCAAGCTCATTGATAGTGTGTGTAATTCTTATAGTTTAAGGCCATTAAAATGCAGATTCCTCTGGGAGCATCCCCAAATTTAGCTGTTGTCTTCATTCGTACCTTAGTTTAGAGGTTCCCAAACTGTAGTCACTTGAGCCTCACCTTTGCAGTCTTTTTTCATATCTGTGTACCACCTGGACTGTAAACATCGTATTTTTCTCTAAATCTCACTTTTTAAAACTGAAGTTTATTTTAAATGGGGACCAGCTATCACTGCCTGCAAAAGGAGAACCGGTGCCTCTTGCTCTAAGTAGGAAGTCAGAGGTCGACACGAATGCAGCAAAAACCAGACACATTGTGGAAATTCTGGGGATGTTCCCACCTGCCCGAGGCTCGGAGCCCCTGCTCTCAGCCTTTGCTTAAAGGGGGGTGTCAGGATGAGGTGTTACAGATCCATCAGTGCCAAAGGGGGGTTTTCTTTTTGAGGTGATGAGAGATTGAGAGAATATTAAAAATGGGATAATCTTTTCATTTATTCAATGCTGTGGCCCCCCCCATCATCTTATGTGTAGCACATTTTGGGAAACATTGCCTTAATTGGAGTGTTTTCAGACTCTTTCCTGAGAACAGGTTTGGATGAAGGGTTTTGGAGAGAGTCTTAATTTGAAATCCAGGGAACCCCAAGGGGATTGTGAATTTGTCAAGAAAAAGATGACATCTTTGTTTGTACTAACCTGGAATTCAAATCTAGCATTTCCTTCCATTATGAAGGCGGGGGGCAGGCCACATTGTTCTATAGTATATGAAACAGTATATATCTATAGTATAACATGGTATGTTATGTATATATAAAAATATATGGGGTATATAACATTGTATAACGGTGTTGTACCAGTGCCAGTGAGATGGAACTATTTTCCTAAGAAAATAAGTTGTCAAAACATCCTTTACCCTCAGCACAACTTGTAAGTTACGGTAGTTAGAGACCTTCCCCAGAAGTGTGGAGAACATGGTAACAGTTCTGATATTTTGAATCATTTGTTTCTTTGAACTGTGTGTGTATTCCTGCTTATAAAAACATTATTTCAGAAGGGGTGCGTGAACTTCCCCAGACTGCCAAAGAGGTCCCAGGTACACAGAAAGTTAAGCCCCCATTTGGGAGAAAGAAAGGCTCTGGGCATTTGCACAGAAAGGACCAGAGAGCCCCCTTTCCCCTTTCCCGCAGCCCCTGACCCATCCCCCTCTTTTTGCAGCCTTCTCCCAGATGGTCATCAGCTTCTACTACGGGGGCAAGCTGGTGGGCCAGACCACCACCACCTGCCCCGAGGGCTGCCGCCTGTCCCTGGGCCAGCCGGGCCTGCCCAGCGCCAAGCTGTACGGACCCGAGGGCCTGGAGCTGGTGCGCTTCCCGCCGGCCGACGCCATCCCCAGCGAGCGGCAGAGGCAGGTGACGCGGAAGCTGTTCGGGCACCTGGAGCGCGGCGTGCTGCTGCACAGCAGCCGGCAGGGCGTGCTGGTCAAGCGGCTGTGCCAGGGCCGCGTGTTCTACAGCGGCAACGCCGTGCTGTGCAAGGACAGGCCCAACAAGCTGGAGCGCGACGAGGTGGTCAAGGTCTTCGACACCAGCCAGTTCTTTCGAGGTCTGTGCCACCGGCTGCCGCTGCCCTAATCTGAAAGGTCACGCCCCTCCCCGTGTGCCATTCGCCCCTCGAGTCCAGCGAGGGCCCTGGAGGAGCAAGGGGCACAGGGTGCAGGAGGGGCGCCCCTGCTTTTGAATCCGGCTCTGCGCTTTTCTCGCTGAGCGATCCTGGGGAAGCTGTCTGTGCCTCGACCTCCCCGTGTGTAGAATGGGGGTGCAGGTACACCTTCCTCGCATGGCTGTCGGGAGGATTAAGGAACTTAGCGCCCTGCAACTCCGTGGTGTGCTGTCCCCATGCCCTGGGAGCTGGTTAGAAGTGCCAAGTCTCAGGCCCCACCCCAGGCCTCCAGGGTCAGGATCTGCATCTTGGCAGGGTCCCCGGGGATAGGTGTGCACGTTGTGAGACACACTGTCCTCGTGCCCATGTGTCCTGGGGACAGCAGCCACACAAAGGAGGGCTGTGTGGTGGCTGTCATTGCCCCATGAGGCATGCGAATCGGGGTCCCCCGTGCGTGCCTCCTACAAGGTCAGCAGGTCTGAAGTCAGTCCCTCTCATGCTGCGTGCCGGCTACCCCTCTGCCCCCACAGCCCTCTGCTCCTTGCCCTGGAGCAGCACCGCCTGGGAGCTGGTGTCAGGTCTCTCCTGCCACCCCGCCTGAGAACTCCTGGGGAAGGGGCCCTGGAGTGGGGCGGGGTGGCGGGTGCACTCAGGGGCGAAGGCGCCGTGGGTCCTCTGGGTGAGGAGGGTGATGAGGCCCGGAGCTGCCCACACGCCCCCCTCTGTCTTACAGAGCTGCAGCAGTTCTACAACAGCCAAGGCCGGCTTCCCGACAGCAGGGTGGTGCTGTGCTTCGGAGAGGAGTTTCCAGATATGACCCCCTTGCGCTCCAAACTCATTCTCGTGCAGGTGAGAACGGGCAGCGTCTGGGCTTGTGGCCAGATCTCCTGGCTGCACGTCGGGCCCCTGTTTATGCTTGGGCTGGAGAACAGGACTGGATGCTACACCTGCATGCAGAGGCAGGCCTGGGCGGGATCTTCAAGTGGGGAAGTGGATCCTTGCCACCTCTGAACCATCTTCTAGTGTTTCAGGACTCTCACAATATGCATATCCCTCCCTTTTCTGTTTGTTTTGTTTTTTTAAATCAAAACCTCCATTCCAGAAAGATTCCACCTGTTCAGTTGCCTTAAGGTCTAAGTGACAGATTAGGGCTTTGCAAGCCCTTATTTAACTCTAGTCAAAGGAATGAAACTCTAATGGTGGAATTCTGGACACGGGCTAGCCAGATTGGGACAATATTGGGGGAGTATATATAGGAGTCTTTGAAGGAATACTGCTTGCCTTTTCTTTGCATCTGCCTGTTCTGGGTCCATTCATTTGGGACTCGTGTGGAGCTTCTGAATGATAGCTTTGGGTTGGGGTAATCAGAACCTGGCTAGAGTCAAAGAAAGTCCCATCTCACCTCCCACCTCCGTCTCTGACCTTGTGCACCATCCCTCTAGATTGAGCAGCTCTACGCCCGGCAGCTGGTGGAAGAAGCTGGGAAGAGCTGCAGCGCTGGGTCCATGATGCAGGCTCCCGAGGAGCCCCAGCCGGACCAGGTCTTCCGGATGTTTCCAGATATCTGTGCCTCACACCAGAGACCCTTTTTCAGAGAAAACCAACAGATCACTGTTTAAGTCTCTCTCTCGGGCACCCCATCCACGCACGTCTCGCCTTTCATTATTACAATTACTGTCGTAATTATTTAAGGACGTGGATCCCTCTGACCGGGGTGGGACGCCGTACTCTGCCCTTAATTTAGGAAGGGCCTTCTCTGAGGACTCGCCATCCAGAACAAAGTGTGTCACAGACCTGCTGTTCAGATAGAAACATTGAGACTCACACCCAATGGCCTGGATGCTGCAGCTATCACCTGTGGTTAAAACACGTATTTCCTGCATATTTTCCAAATTATTATTAGTTACTATGATTCTTTCAGCATTTGGAGATAATTGATATTTCCAAAGACATTCAATTTTACTAGCAAATAGCTACTTCCGGTAAAGAAGTTTGGAGTTTTAAGATCAACTTGTCAGAAGACTGCTTTTCGTGTTTATATTTTGTTAAAGCTATAGATTTATGATTTCGTATGCTTGATTGGATGTGAAGTGTCTTTTTACTTTTAAGCATGTTAGTAAGATTTGAAAATCCTTAGATATCAGCCTCCCTTTAATAAGTGAAATTGAAACTCTTGGCTTGTTAGAAGAACATATATTCTTCCTGGACTTCAGGCACCAGGAGAGCCTTTCCATCGCCAGGTGCACGGTGTGTTTTGATCTTCAGACAATATGTTTTTCCCTTTGGGCCTTTGTTGCCAGGAAGCTTAGAGCTAAATTTATTTTTTCATTTCTGTAATTAAATCATCCCAGACACCTCTCTTTTCTTCTTTCTAAATGGTTTTGACCTGTTTTAAAAATACTTTTAATTGTCCTATTTTACATGTCCTCTTGTAAACTGCTTTGAATCTTTTTTTTTTAATATAAAGTGGGCGGGATATAAACCACAAGTTCAAAAAATAATGTGGATTGTACGAGCATTTTGATTGTGGCTTTGATTCAGCCAACCCATCCATCAGCCGGTGGTGTTGGGTGTGCGGCTGGAGTGGCTGGGGATGTGGGTGCGATGTGTTAGCTTCTCACCCCTGCGTTGGGCATGGGGTGGGCCGTGGTGGGAGAACGCCTTCCCATCCCTAGTCCTTGAGGTTCAGGATGGCCCGTCCACCCCAAAGTCTGCTCTTCAACAGAGTCATACATGGGATTCCCTTGGAAAACTGGAAAGTCCCAGTTTTAGCCTAGGAAGAACTTACCCTCTTTACTAGCAAATAGGATGCATTTACTACCCAAAAATGTGTCAAAATGTTTGCCCTGAATCATGATATTAATCCAAAGCCAGGGCAGAAGGCTGACAACAGTGGCTTGGCTTAATGGTGAGGGCAGTTCACGTGGTCTCACCGACCGCCCCCCCCAGTGCCCAGGCCTGTGCACCTCCACAACCGCTGTACGATCACCTCAGGATCGAACATCGTTTTTTAAAAAACCATTGTATTTTGCTAGATCGGGGTGCCTCTTCTTCGTCTGTGTCCTGCGTGATACACTGGGCCTGGACAGTGCGTGCTGAGCACCTACGCAGCCCCCTTCCAGCACTGCTGTTTGTTGGTGTGGCTGAGTCAGTTCCGCAGTCGCGGAGACACCGGGCAGCTTAGGGGAGGGGCGGTGGGGAGGAGAGTCTTGTCTCTGTTCTTTCTCCTTCATAACCCAGCCTGGGTCACCCCACCCCTGACTCAACCTCACAGTGAAAGGGCAGGAAGGGGCCTCGCCTGTTGACCCTCATTTTGAGAAGTGGGAGAAGCTGGGGTCTGGGGGACAAGATTGCCTCAGCTCAGCCAGCCTTGTGGCCTTGTGACCATAAGAGTCTCTGATGTAAAACTGAAAAGCCTAGGAAGACCCATTCACTCTTCCCACTGCTCCTGCTATGAAGGCGTGTGGGTGTAGCGCGGAGCAAGACTCAATCCTTAGAGGGCCTTTGAATGTGTTTGAATTCACATGACAATATAGGAGAACTCCAGTAAAAGAAAGTGGCTTTTCCTCTTTGGCCAACAAAACCAGCATTACATTTTTGAGGATAACAGACCTGTTTTCTGAAATTTTGTCAGATAACGATAGGCTTTAGTCTCTTGCTCAAATGAAATGTTAAAGCACACATCTTTCATATGCTGAATGAATATTTATTTTTGTATCCATTTAAAAAGTATATTGATCTCTTTTATTCTTTATTAAAATAAAGTGCTCTTTTCTAAAAGCTGACGTGTGCTCCGTTTTTTTTAAGTCACGAGGGACACCCAGTCTCCAGTCATGGAGATTGCTTCATGGGGCTCCCTGCTGAACAACCCAGGACAAGCCCATCAGATGGACTCCGGCCAACCCAGGCGGAGCCGTGTCACCCAGCACACTCTGGCCGCAAGGCAATGCGCGTGCTCTCCAGCCTCAGGCGAGCCCAGAGCCTGGTGGGACTGCGACTGTCCTGTTTGCAGCTTACACGTGAGGAGACGGAGGCACAGGCCTGTGCTTGACAGCTCAGTCTGAGAGGCGTGCTGACGAGACGTGGCTGCAGTGCTCAAGTTCTCCGGCCTGGGGAGGAGGCAGCAGCCGGGGGAGCGCTGGCTGTCCCAGAAATCCCTGCAGTGAGTCACGTCAATTCCCGCACGCTGCAGCTAGGAGTTTTGTTTATAAGCAAGCCCTCTTCTGTCCTGTGGGTTCAGGGCCAAATGTGGAAACTCGATGAAGTCTGCTGCTCCCCAGAGGTCGACGCCCTTGTGCAGACCGTTGACAAACCCTTCTCACTCAACTCCTTGCAGCGACCTCGGGCGGGGGCGGGGGGGAGCTTTGCCTTTGCAGAGGAGGGAATTCAGGGACAAGATGCATCAGTAGTGACTGGGGGTTCTAGAAACGGTGGTCAGGGCCCTAGATCTGAACTAACTTGAGATGTTGACCCTCCTCTGGACAATTAGCTTCTGGCACCCGAAGGGCAGCTCGTGAGAACAGGCTGATGTGACATTCTGGAAAACAGCCTTCACTCTTTGTATTTTAAAAGCATTTTAAGAAATTAAAATATTTCAATGATCACTTTCTGAGTGATTGCCACTTAGTGCGCTAATTTTTGCAAAATCCATCTGCGATGCAAAATTTTTTCTTTCCTCTGTAATGTCCAGATGGATTAAGATGATGATCCCTGGGTTAAGCATCCACAGGATCTGCTGGGCCCTGGGAATCCTGGGAGAATCCTGAAAGGGATTGGCTGTGCAGGCATCCCTGTGTGCTACAGGGACAATTTGTCTCTGCAAAGAAGCTACTGTGGTTATCGGGAAGAAATTATTTGTGTGAGGATTCAGACTCTTCATAATAGAAAGTTTTGCGACTCAACTACTCAGAAGTTTTTAGAAATTCTTTCTAAAAATGATTTATAACTGAAGACTGTAATTTTAATAGCTCAGTGGGCTGAGAGTGGGGAGGAGAGGTTTCTCAGTGGAAAGTCTGGCTGCTTTTACTAAAAGTAGGAGGAAGCAGCAATTGTCTCTACTCACTCATAATCTATATCTTCCTCTTGAACATGCGCACTGGGCATTGGCATATTAAAAAGTCTCTCTCACGGTAAGAAACTCATTTAATCCTGCGTTTTCCAAACTTATTTGCTCTGATACTATGCCTTGCAGTGTGTCTGTGGATGAGCAGTGCCTCATCCAATTTGAACCACCTTGGGCGTTGAGAGGAAAGTGTGCATATTTCTTTCCTGTCCTGGTTGGGCTGCCTTTCAGTGCAGATGGAGTCTGCGGGGACGTGGATGGCTTTATTCATCTCTTTTTATGTAACAAACTACCCTTAAACTTAGTGGTATCAAAAACATTTTACTTTGCTCATGGATTTTGTGGGTCAGAATTTAGACAGGGTACAACGGTGTTGGCTTTTGTCTGTTCCAAAACATCTAGGGTCTTAGATGGGAAGACTCGAAGAGCTGAGGGTGAGTTGAGTGCCTAGGGGTGGAATCGTCTGGAGGCTTTTTCATCCATTTGTCTGGTGCCTGGGTGGAGAGGACTGGAAGGCTGGGCAGAGCTGGCACTGTTGACTGTAGTGTTGGCACGTGGCCTCTCGTGTAGCATGGGCTTCTTCACAACATGGCGGCCTCAGGCAGTCCAGTGGACAAAGGAGAAGCGGAATGGTTGTTTGTGTCCCAGCTTCAAACGCCATTTAGCATCACTTCTTCCATACTCCACAGGTCAAAGCAGTCACAAGGCTGCCCAGACTCAGGAGCGTGGGCAGAGACCCCACCTCTTCATGACAGGAGTGTCAAGGAACTCACAGTCATGTCTTCAAACTGCCAAGGAGGCCCAGGAGCATCTTCTCCTTTGCTTCTCATCCCACCTACCATGTTTGTTTTAAATCTTCTGCCCCCGCCCCGGAAATCCTGGCTCCTCTCTGGCCTGATTCCTTGAGTCCCAGGTAGGTAGCTCTCTTTCTCACTCCATCTGGGGAGCATGACAGTGGACACTTACCTTCTTCAGAATGTAGTCCTTCTCTTGTGAACACTGACCACCAACCCGGGCCTGACTCTGATACGTTATCATGTGAAAAGATCCCGTCCCCACCCGGGGTGAGGATGGTGGTGACAGGGAGCTTTCCAAAGTTAATTTTGGCTGCTATGGCAAGAGCCTTGTGTGGACTTTCCCTGGTTCCTTCCATCCTTCTGCTCATGATCTCTCAGGGTAAGACAGTCCACCTTTCTGTCCTCTCATCCCCAACTCTATGGTCTGCCAAAATTTCTTTATGAGGGCAAGAGGCATAAGAAAAGATCGGGCCATTGGTTACGGTTTCATGGGGCCAGGAATGCCCGGGTTGAACTCCCAGGCCTACCACCTGTGGCTGCGTGAATGAAGGAAGGTTACTCGAGTCCCCTATGCCTCCATCTCCCCATTTGTAGGCTGCTTGTGAGGATTAAGTGAGTCAACACATCAAAGCAACTTAGAAAAGTGCTTGGTAAATAGTGTGAGCTGTCATGGAGAAGCTGGCTGGGCAGGGTCCTGGTTTGGATTCCCCTAGAAGCAGAGCCAGACACAAGGATTTGAGTGTCAGTGGTCTACGTGGGGGTCATCTCAGGAGAGGCTGGCAGGGGAAGGGGATGAGCTGATGAAGGTGCATTATCAAGCCGGTGACCCTGTGGCTGTGAGGCGTGTTCCTGCCGGGACTCTGGGAAATGGCCAGGCACAGGAGCCCTGCAGAGCAAGCCC